ATCACCATTCCCAGGGGTTATTTATCATCCATAAATTCCTTAATATTATAATAATGCTTTTTATACAAACATAGTTTAATAAAATTTTTGAACTTTGCGTATGACAAATTTTGTATATTTTCTGCGATTTTGTTGTAAAAGCGTATACATCGCCCCAATAATTAATTACTGACTCGGTGGAGTCGAGTAACTGGTACTACTAGCTTGTGTCTGTTCCTAGTATTTACAGAATGAATATCACTTATTTTTGCAAAACTACGTTTATTTTTGTGTACGTACATTACATTTTCATAAATGTACTGCCAGAACAAAAAATATAATAAACATAAAATGTAATAAACGAAGTAAAATTAAATTAAAGGCTCCAGTTACAAAACTTAAATTTGTGATCTCGCGACATAAACAAAGTTATTTATTTATAATCTACTATTATCTCAGACAATTGAGTCACTATATCTAATACGTACCTAGATCTATATATAAGAATGCCGACTGACTGACTCACTGATTCATCAACGCTGGAACCGAATCGCTGTACTTGGTAGCGTAAATTAGGTCATTACCCTTTATGATGTTTACACAAAAGCCTTTTTATTCAGGTCTATGTCTACGAATGTCGCGTATATTTTACGAAAATGTATTCGTAAAATAGGAGATTTTAAGTACGAATACGTTATGCTATTTTGTGAAAACATTAATAATTTTGTATTTTTAAATATCACGAACGCCACTTTTGTAGTCATCGGACTGTGGTTATTTAAAATATTTCTCCTTTTGAAATTTTATTTTTAATTGCTACATCTACGTCCAATTCTCATTACCCCATGGTTTGCCCGGTAGAAAATGCATATAGGCATTACTATGCCCTTTAACTACATCCTTTCTTATAGGGAATATAATAAAGATTAAATAAAATAATTTGGAATATCATTTCAATTCTTAAAATCATAGTTGAAAATATTTTTTATTAATTTTGTAGTATGAGAATTACGTGAGATTGATCTCCACCGATGTCATTGTAAAACGCGATTTTAAATATTATAACTATTTATATATAATTATATTATTAGTATCTTTCGAAACATTTAAAAGCAACCTTACAGCCTATATACATCTCATGGCTGGGCCCAGGCCTCCTCTCAATTCCGAGACAGTTCCTGGAGTGGCTCCTCGTACCGGTAATCTAAGTTGAGGGCGTTCAATCACTAGATGGAGTGACAAGACATGCAGGAATACGATGGACGCAGATGTTACAACATATATATATATATATATATATATATATATATATATATATTATTGTAATATATGTATATGTAAAGGGACGTCCTAGGCGGAAGTTTGCCGACCAAATTGGCGATATACTAAAAATGGGCCAAATTAAGAGTACCCTTAACCGACGAGCATGTATGAGTAGGTATATGGATGTGGAAGAGGCGAGAAAGGTCAGGATCATTATGTCAGGATCGTGCTAAATGGAAGTCTGTAGTCTCTGTCTAGCCCTCTGGGTGACAGGCGTGATAAACACTCATATATGTATGTATATGTATATATATATATACTATGTAATATATATATATATATACATATACATATATTACATAGATATTTTTAACAGAATAAAGGCGATAAACGAGCACACAGTCCACCTGATGGTAAGTGGATACTCTGCCCAATTGACATCTATATTTACCCTTGATTAAGATTCAAAATGCAGATGCCTTGTCATCCCTGAGGACTAAGATGGAATGCCTCGTATCCAGTAAAACAGGTCTCCGGTTCTATACACTTATCATACGAAACATAGCAGCATTAACCTGCTAATTCACGCTGCTAATCTGTTAGAGCGATATCCTACCCTGGTCGAGTTGAACCATTCGTGCTACAACTATGATATATCTGCAGGCTTATAAAATTTAAATAAAAAAATATTTGCAATTTACATCTTTAAATCCTAGCTTTTTTCAAGTCATATTTCTTGCACAGATGTAGAGATGTCTATGGGCCACAGTACGCACTTACCATTAGGTGGAATGTGTGCTCGTTGGTTACCCTTATTGTCGAAAGAAGATGACAACTTATTGTCGAAACCAAGTGGTGGTGGCATATGAGAATCCACCAGTTCATTTTACCACGTGCGTGTCGTAAGAGTTTACCTAGAGAAATGGCTGAAAGATCTTCTTTGATGTCTGATAGATGGCGTAATTTCGACAGTTTGAACAGAAGTCATAATAATATTAATTATTATTCGATCTTTTACCAACTCACTGAATAAAGCTTGGCTTAAGACTTCTTTAGTAATTATTACTCACTTATAAAAGACAGACATTTACGCCGAAGAGAAGCGGCATCAAAGATGTGTAATTTAAAAACAGCTGCCAATCATTGATTCAAACCCTTTCCTCTGTGTAAAGTTCGTAAAATCCATGTCTAAGTAATGGACTATTATAGAGTTATGAATAAAAAGCAGCTGTTAACCTAATTATGTCTGTTTGGTCTAATTTACTCTAGAAGATAGTAATTACAAGTACAAATTTTTTCTTATCATATTCACTAACAATCAAATTATTAAGTTTTTACGAAATGTCAAAATAAAATAAACTTGGTGTATTTACGTTGTTAGAATATATATTTAAGTACATTTATAATTACGTAGCAACTTAAAAAATGTACGCGTACTGGTCTACGTCATGTAGCGATTATTACGAACGTTTCAATGTATGGTAATAGGTCAGGTTCTCGTGATTTACTTCATTTTACTTTTCATTTGAAATACAGAAAAGACGTCATCCCAGTCTGCTTTATTTATGTAAATAATTTATTAAACAGTAGTAATTTCTTTTTTCGAATTAATTTTATTCCAATTTTAAAAGTATTTTAAATTTGATGAACTTCATTTTAGATATGTTTTATTTGAAATTAGAAAAGATATCATAAAAGTATAATATTATTATGTAGAATATATAAAAAAAAGTTTACTTCTTAATTTAATTATAAATTAATTTTATTCCAATTTTATGTGGTTTAAATTTGATTAAATAAATATAAACCTTTTTTTTAAGATTGTTCGCCGACAGCATTTTAGGAATTGTTATTTACAATTTTAGTGGTGGTTTACCATGTGTTCAGCGATAAAGGAAAACAAAAAGGAAACCTGCATGTCTTAGGTATACCTAAAACATATCGAGAATGCGCGAAGTCCGCCGACTCGCACAGGAGCAGTGAAGCGAGCTGCTAAGAAATGAGAGGTAGTGTGTGTCCAATACGACGTATATACGTTGTAACTTTGTAACTAAGTTTGCGCAAGTTAAACAATTTATTGGTTAGCAAATTTCACACAGCGGGAACAACCCGGGTTGACTAATGAAATTGTTAATTGCACCAATGAAATTGTTAATTGCTGATGCTGATTCACCACGTGCTCAGCGGTGAAGGAAAACATCGTGAGGAAACCTCTATAATAGTCCAGTCTGAGAAATGAGAAAAATATTTCGAAGACACTTCCTTACCCTAAAACCCTCGCCGAAATGAGGCGAAGCATGTGCCCACCAGTGGGACGTATATAGACTGTAACTTTAACTTTTAACTTTTAAACTTCATGAATTTACAAGAAGTCTTAAAAGTTACATTTTAAGTATTCAAATTATATGATTTTGTAAGTTATGATACATATGATAAGCTTACGCAAATAGGGTATCAATCTTCCAGCGTTAATTATAATTTCCATATGATAAATTAATAGCAACTATGATGTGATAACCGTTATAAAAATGAAGATAAAAATGCTACTCGTTCCCGGGTATAAATTATCCACTATTAATAATCAGCGTCCGTCCGTCCGTCCGTTATATCGTTTCAGTGTAATATGCAAGCATTTATCTTTATAACGATCTTTAAACACTTAAAATGACTGTGACTACCGTTTGTTTGATACATGTATACTCTTAACGATACATAATGTACTGAAAAGCGTAGAACTTTAACCCGGCGGTACTCGCTAGGTAATTACTGACACGAACACTCGCTACTGGGTAAAAAATACCACAGAATTAGTTTGACATTATTTAAAGAAATTCGTAACATTTTAAATTTTGACTATGTATTATCTTTATTTACACCACGTTCTATGATAAAACTACAAATGCAAGTTGCAGTCATCTTTTATTTTAAACGAGGTCTAGTTATTAATTAATAACAAAAAATTTAAGAATTCTTTGTATCTTTAACAAAAATTAACAAAAAAATACTTTTCTTGTTAAGAATCATGCAAAATTGAGATCTATATTCAAAATAGACATACTGCCTTACCAAATGAACACAAAATAATTATACTTTGAAGTTTGAGAAAATCATCATCAAATAGCTTGCTTCAAATTATCAACGCCAATCAAAATTACTTTTCTCTATCAAAACACTCGCCACGGATTGGAGTCGTATGTTCTTTGAAAATCTTTTTGCTCTTGGAAAACCTCTCTTATAGCCGCCAGCTTATCTGTCTGCCTTCTCTCAGCTCTTGTATGAATATCGTCACAACGTAAACTTCTTAGTAAAAAATGAAATCTTTCGTATGATATAGCCGCAATACATATATCGCTACCACTTTCATCCTTTTCCCAGTGATCTTTTGTGTTTAGATGACCACTTCGCAGTCGTCCACACAAATAAAGTAATCCAAAAAGAGCTCTTATTTCAATAGTATCCGTTTGTTTACAGTCACGTTCTCTTGAGTAGTTAGATTTTAAATTTTGAATATACACGTTTGTATAGTGGATTATTTTTAGGAAAGACTCTGGAAAAATAAGATCCCAGGCTTCTAACATAGACGAGAAACATTTTCCTTCTTCAATGGGACCCGGCAAGTGTAGAATAATATTATGAGATCTCGTTCGTACACGCCGTGTTGGCTCGCGGACTTGCCACTCAGTTCTTTTGTCTTTTCCAATAAACTACCCTAGTCTGCGATACTTCAATGGCACATCATCTAAATATTCTTTATAAATCTATTCATTTTCAGTCTGTTGATCTAATTCTAATGGCCGACAACGGTGGCAAATTTCTTCTAAATCTGAGCGTGTGTTTGAATCACTGGCTTCCTGCTCCGTTTCACTTTCATGCTCACTCTGTTCTTTGAAATCTTCTTTTTCCGATACAATTTCTTCTTCATCGTCTTCCTCTTCTAGTAATTGTGCTATTGTATTATCCTTTAGTGGACAAGACATCGTGAAAAAGCTCTTATACAAAAAAATGTTTATTAGCAAACGGAAAAATAATATAACGAAAACAGTCACTACTGGGTAATTTTTACCCTTACGCACTTTATACGTCCGTTGTCGCTAAGCGCCGCGCGTAAAAGGGCTGCCCCGTGACCCGCGCATGGAATATGTTTCAGCTTGAAGGTACCTAGAATTGCGATCTGCTCGCGCTCTTTAAAAAAAGTTAGCTTTGAATGTAAGTACTCTGTGGTATTTTTTACCCAGTAGCGAGTGCCCCCGGGTTAAAGGCCTTAATCAATATCAAGATAAAAGAATCTAGTAGGTACAATATTTTATAATATAATAACCCCAACTAAACATAAATGCATCAAGGAGTAAATTGCAAATAGTCAGAATACGATTTCGAATTTTCATAACAACTAGAATATTAAATATGGCCGAAATATTCATTCGAGGCTGGAATATTATCATTTTAATAAATTTAATACGTGCTATAATATTGACACTGTATTAAAAATCTAAAATAGCCTGAGAAATTTAATTAAGCAGAAATAAATGAGTATTTAAATGAGTTGCGTACGTAAAATGTAAATAAAGAATTGAAGAGGAAAAAAACTGAAAGCCAGAGGCAGTCCAAAGAATTTCCCCTTTTCAGCGCTTTTAAAAAAGGACTCATTAAGGTATGAAACCCGCATTCCACAAAAGATTAGGCTGCACACACACTCGTAAGTTAGTATGAACACAGCGTGAATAGGAATCACGTGTGCATTGTGCACATATTTTTGACCCATGTGTGCGGCGTGACTCACACCAATACATGTCACCGAACAGTGATGTAATGCTCGTTGACGCCTCGCAGACATTTTTTATGGACACTGACGCAACTTTTTTATAACCATAGCAAAGTAAGGGCGGATGCATGAGCTAAAAAGCAATTAGGTTTTAATTATTTTTCTTATTCATTTGACCCGTAACCCGCAATCGGTTAATTTTCAAAGGTTTATTACGTGAGTTTAGTGTGAAATTAATACTATAATAAAATACGCGTAATTTATACTTTATTTTTTAAAGTTTTAAAAACTAAAATTAGTTAGTAAGATATCTAAAAATACTTCTTTATTTACAGGTAAGGGCGAGTAAATACAAAACAGGAGCAAATTTTCATTAAGGTTTGAATTCCCAACAGAAAATGTCAATTGTTTTCAACATGTATGTACTTGGCAACTACATCTGATTAAAATTATTATTTAAATTGCTACTGTGTGAACTCCTCTTTATGATGCACGTTTAATACATACAAACAAGTGAATATAACTGTAAAGCAAGGCTGCACACTAACACAACAAGGACAGGTCAACGCTCTCTGTTGCCTTGCACGAGTGAAGCAGATACATACGTATTCATGGTGTTAAAGTAGTAAAGGTATATATAGCTCGCTTCCGCGATTTATACCAGGAGTTGCATGAGCGCAACAAGGATAATGCTATAGCGATGATAAGAGATGGATATATAAATATTATGTCTGTTATTTCACTTCCTCCGCTGTGATGCAATAGCAATTTACAGTACAAGCATCTATTTTGAAACAAAGCTTAATAATTACTAAGTTTTTATGACATTAATAATTAAAATTTCTATTCAGATACAATTTTCAATATTATAAAATTTTTATTAGTCAAGAGAATCAAGACAGCCAAATAGATGATGCTACAAATTAATATTGTATTACCCTATTACATGTAACTTTCTAACCGGATAAAATAAAAATAAAACATTTTATAAAGTTCCTCATCTTAATAATCGATTGCAAAAACAATTCATTTTAATTTTATTTTTGTAATTAAACAAATATAATATGATAACAAAAAAATGGTATAACCCAGCTTAACTCTTCGACAAACTGATGAATGAATAAAATAAATAACGCCCTCTGTTATCGAATAGCAAAATTACTATTTCTTTTGATTTGATTATTTATTACTCATGACCTCATTTTCGTCAATTCTCATAACAAACAACATATAACTGGAATGTCGCTTAGAGAAAAATTCCATCTAGTCGTTTAAAATGTTTTTCCTTTAAATTTAAGGAAAATCGATCAAAAAGTCTGAACCCAGTACGCATGCCCCAGTTTCAGTTCTGTGAAAATATCGCTTCTTTTGTAAACTTTTCAGCCTATGTCATAGTGAAAAAAATAAGTTGGCTCAAGAAGCGTGCCAAACCATGTGTCAATGAACCCTGTAAAAAGCTGCCAGGCCTATGCTGTCAGGAATAAAAGCGACTTTAATACAATATAAGTAGCTCTCGAAATTACTTTTCTACAGTTTTTAACAGAGTTCATTTTGAAAAAACGTATCATTGCGCTTAAGCTTTTTTATTCGGAGCGCAAACAATGTATAGACACTCACACATAAATTTTCCTCACACATATCGGGAAATCAAAGACATCATAGTGGTCTGTCTTACAAAGAAAGTAAGTACAGAGCTTTCCCTGTGTTACACAATTCAGTTCATCTCTTTCCAACGCTTGAGTAAAACTATCTATATCTCTTTTACTCAGCTTGTTATGTAATAACGGTTGTTATTTAGCCGTGTAACATTTTTTGTGGGACCGCTACGCAGTTTCTACGCTACATGTTTAATTTAGCATTTCAATAAATAAATATGTATATCTACATTTTTTGTGTTTATAATATTGTAATAAATGCTTGCTAAATTATTAACAGGTGATACATTTTATAAGTATTCAAATTTAACAATATTATCGTCAAGTTAAAATTTGGAATAAAATTAGGCCCACAAATAGATTTTCATGTGCTTGTCAAACGCATGCACCTTGTTAAACACATGAACTGGTCTGCATGTATGTATATGCTGTGTAGACGTGTGGGTAGGCTCAGTGGTGTGCCACACGCCTGTGTTCATTTCATAGTTGTTCCCTCGATGGCCCGCTTGCAACATCTCGGTGTGAGCGGGTCCTTACGAATTCGGCGCGCATTTTCGAAATTAGATATCCGCGTTTAAAAAAAACCAAGCATTGTTTTTTTTAGTGGTATGTGCTGTGAATTAAAAGCGGCCAGTCATTTTTAGTGTTGTGTTTGTGAGCAATATTTTATTAAAAAGCTTGATATTTGGAATGTTCGGAGGTTAGATATGTATACGTTTATATTTTTTACTTACGGTTGTGACACAACTCGGTGAATATAAAATTTTCTCGTTTGAAAGTTATGTGATGTAACGCTTGTTACAATGCTACTCAACGTTATTTAACAAAATGTGAAATACGAGACGTCTTTCTTTGAATTTAGATAATTAAAGTGATCATATTTACTTATCTTATTGTACATGCAAGACATTTTTGTTAGCGAATTTCACCATGTTGTAATTTTCTGTAATTATGTAAAAATTAAATTAATTGTTAACTGTTATTAACTTTATCGGCAAAAATATGCAAGTAGGTATAATAGTAAAAAAAAAAACTAAAAAAAACTAAACTAATTAAAATATAGTAGACATGTAAAAAAATATAGTTTCCTTATTTTTAAGAATATGAAACACCTGTTCCTTTTAATAACACGAAAAGCTTATATATGAAATATCAAAATTCAAAATCTATATTAGACCATTTTTGTAAAAAAAACCACAACCAATGCCTTGTACCTAAGTAGATAAAAGTGGAGTCTATCTTGGTTTCCATGTAATAGATAACATCGGCACACAATGTTTCATGTAGAGTTTCGTAACTATACTTGAAGCAACGCTACAGTGTGTCATCGTATGTGTGTATGTGTGTGCATGTATGTACTTTGCTACTTATTAAAAAGTTGGGAAAATAGTTTTATTTTAAGAAAATATCTGAGCTTCAGAGTATCAGACTTCAGACTTCAGTTATTCTGTTGGAAACTAATAAATGCATGAATCAATAGTCTAAGTTAATGTCTACTTTGTAAATTTTAAACTTATAATATATGACTAAACCTAGTAAGGTAACGTAGATCAAGGAATAGAGCTCGTATTTAATTTCTTTTAGCACGCTCACTTACCGAGTTCGATTCCGGCCGGCATCAATGTAATTGTTGATTTCAATTTTAAGCGCTGATTTAGGTATCGCATACCCGACGGTACGTGAAAACAAATCTGCAGGCCGTGAATTAAAAAGGTTTTTATACGTATGAAAATGTAAATAAATAAAATTATATAAGGCGCTATTAAACAAACCTAAGTAAAAACGGAAAAGCGAGTTACATATTTTCATTAAAGTAGTTTCGTTTTCAGCTGTTAACACGAACGTCCACTCGTTTTAAAATATAATATTTTGAATTTGGAATAAAAATATAGTAGAGAAAAAAATATTAGGTCAGCCATAATTAAAAAACACGCATTAGTATACGCTGCAAAAACACTCATACGTTACGTAAGCAGGTAATAGTAAATAACATGTGTACTTATTCTACATTTTTAAGAGTGTTAACTACATATATGTACCATTTAGATAATATATATAATTAATGCCAGTATAGCCGTGGTAGCTCAGGGTCTAAGGGCTCGCTTCAAATTTCAAAGTACCCCGGGTTCGCTCCCCGCCGGCAACAATGAATTTTAAGTGCTGATTTACCACCTGCTTAGCGGTGAAGGAAAGCGTCGTGAGGCAACCTGAAATCCTGAGAAATAAGAATGAAAAAAAAAAATATTTCAAAGACGTGAAGTTCGCCAATACGCATCGGGGCAGCGCGGCGGACATTTCCTTGCCCTAAAACCCTCTCCGAAATGAGAGAAGGCCTGTGCCCAACAGTGGGACGTAACTTTTATGAAAGAATTAGTACCTTTTTAGAATATGATTATCTTTATAATCGTTTGTGCATCTGTTAGTGATCGTGTTACTTCTGAAGAACTTGTTGAATCAAATTGTAATCATATTCACACAGTATATTTGTTTTATCGAGACGATGGTTCATAAATATGCAGGGATCCAAAACGTGGCGCTGTAGTCAAGTTATTAATGAAAT